GGCGAGGTTGTGGAAAAAAGGGAACCCTCGAGCCCTGTTGGTAGGAATGCAGACTGGTGCAGCCATTATGGAAAACAGTATGGAGGTTCTTCAAAAAATTAAAACTAGAACTACATTATAACCCAGCAATCCTACTTCTGGGTACTTATTCAAAGAAATCCAAAACTTTAATTTAAAAAGATATACATATCCCTATGCTCGTTGCAACATTATTTACAGTAGCCAAGATATGGAAACAACCTAAGTATCCATTAATAGACAATTGGATAAAGAAGAAGTGGTATATACGTATATACAATGGAATATTACTTGTCCATAAAAAGTGAAATCTTACCATTTGCAGAAACATGGATAGATCTAGAGAGTATTATGCTAAGTGAAATAAGTCAAACAGAAAAAGACAAATGCCAGGGGATTTCACTTACATGTGGAATATAAACAAAACAAACAAACAAACAGAAACAGACTCATAGATACAGAGAACAAACTGATGGCTGCAGTATGAGAGAGGGTTTAGGGGTTTGAGTGAAAAAGGTGAAGGGATTAAGAAGTGCAAATTGACAGTTACAAAATAGTCATGGGGATGTAAAGTACAGCATAGGGAACAGAGTTACTTATATTGTAATAACTATGTTGGGTGCCAGGTGGGTAGTAAACTTATCTGAGGGATCACTTCATCTATATATATAAAAGTCTAAGTGACTGTTACTACCGAACAACCAAAACGACTGGAATAACCAGTCAACCAGTCACTATGACATGCACTGACCACCAGCGGGTAGACGCTCAATGCAGGAGCTGCCCTCTGGTGGTCAATGCACTCCCATAGCCAACCTCCCCTCCCCGGTCCCTTCCCCCATCTGGCAGGCCCCAGCCAGCCTGGCCAGATCAGGACTGGGAGAGATGGCCCAGGGACCCCCACCCGTACACGAATTTCATGCAGTAGGCCTCTAGTAAGTTATGTAATTGTCTAACCACTATATTGTACTCCTGGAGCTAATATAATATCGAATGTCAACTGTAATTGAAAATGTTTTAATTAAAAATAAAAAAAGAATCCTAGTTCTAGAATGGGTCAAAGAGGAGTGTGAGGAGAATCAAAACAGGCAGTTGTGGAGGGTACTGTTGCAATGAGAGGGAGGGGCAAGCGAGAGATGGATGAGCAGAGTTAGAAGTGAGGGCAGGAGAAGGGGAGAGAGATCCAGTGATGGGGTCTAGCTTTTGAAAGGAACAGGGACCCTCATCCACTGCCCTGGAAGGAAGACAGTGGAGATGGGTGAGATGCAGGTCAGGCTGTCTGGAAGGTGAGGGAGTGACTGATGATGGCTTCTATTTTCTCAGGAAAGAATGCAGTGAGGAGACAAGAGTGAGAGTCTTTGAGGAGAACAATAAGCCAGACTTCCCAGGATGAGAGAGGGTATATGACAGGCCATTTAGGCACCCATTTGAGGTTCAAAGTGAAGCCAGGCAGCCCAGCAAACACCAGGGATATTCTAAAGGGATTCTAGTCATTTTCTCGAATGTTGCAGGCTTGTTTTGCAGAGCAGCTGAAACCATACTGCACATACAGTTTTACATCCTGCTGCTTTACACGGGGCAGGAGGAGCACTTCCCCGTGCCTTCATAAACTCTTTGCAAACATCGATTTTAATTCTTAGAAATAATCCGCGGAGTGGATGTTCCATGGGTCATTTAACCTTTCCCCCTTTTATTGGACGTTTCAATTGTTTCCTGGCGATGACGATTGCCATTCCGAAAGAGGCGGCGTGTGTCTGGTGAAGAAGAAAGCCAGTAAGTTACAAGGCAGAGCTGGGACGGCTGGCACTCTGGCGCCTGGGACCCGTCTGGGAAGCATGGGAATTGGTGTTCCTGAGAGGTCACAGGCTGGGTTTTCCTGGACGTGAGGACAAAGAATGGAACAGCCAAGCAAATATCTCTGGCTTCTCAAAGTGCCCCATGGTTCAGGCGTGGAGCATGGGAGAATGAAGGTGGGGAGAGGGTCCCGGAGAAAAGGGAGAGCCAGGTGTATGACCCCTGAACCATTTACAGTTTAAACATGTATTGCAACAGCCATGTTTGAGGTGACAACAGGGCCCTTCACGCGCCTGTTTCCCCCATAATAGAGGTCCTTCTGCCACCCCACCCTTCCTGGAGGGGCACTGCCCCAGCACACCTGGCTATGGGCACAGCATCTAGGGACCCGGTGCCCTCCACAAAGCCCAGCAGGATGGAGTGAATGAAATAATGGGCTCACCTGCCCAACAGAGGCTGGGGGCGGGGCGGGGGGCGGGGGGGCACTTGGGGGGATGTTTTCCAGGGGAGCCAGCCCTCGGTGGAGGCCGATTGCTCTGGGACTGGCCCAGACCCCTTCCAACTTTGAGGTTCTGTGATTCAACAGTGCAGCATTCACTGAAGCCCCACTGTGAGCTGGGGACAGAGAAGTAATCCCCCGCTGATGGAGTCCCTACTGTGTGCCAAACACTGGGCTTCCTGTGCATGCTGTCACCTCATGTCAGGACAAGCCAATGAGGAAAGAATCATCACCCATCTAAGAGGGGGGAACCAGGAGGGGCAGCCCCAGGCTTCCCCTGCAGCACAGGGTGCCCGAGGGAGAACCCCACAGCATAACCCTTTCCTGTAGCATTTACGCCCCGTGAGAAAAGGGCCTGGTTAGCAGGTGTTAGGCACCAGGTGGCACCTGGTAGCTGAGGTGAGAGGTTCTGTCTTAGAGCCAAGGAGTTCAGTGTCCCCACCCCTTGGGCTGGCGGGGGCAGAGCCAGAGGCCAGCGGGTGCCAGGTCTTGTTTGTGTGTGTTTGTGGGACTTGAGTTTCTGATAGATGATAATCATTGCCAGGCCTCCCCAGCTGGAACTGGAGCAGGCACAGTGCCAGGCCCTACCGCCCTCAGGACAAGTATAAGAGCCAAAGAGGCCCTGGAGCCGCGCCAGGACAGAGGTGCCAGCCACCTGCGGGGACACCAGGGTGCAGAGCTAAAGCTGCGGCATTCAGACCGCCAGGTGGGCAGGGTCGGCTCTGGAAGTGGCCCCCTCTCTGGAAGGTCTGGGAGATGCCCTAAGGAAACCACTTGGCTGCACTGGTTGGAGGAAGTCACCAGAAGTTTAACTCAGCAGGGTGAGTACATTGCCATGGTTCCTGCCTTTCCCCACAAGCTCCTGGCCCTACGAGTGACTGTCTGTCCCAGAGGTGCCAAGTGGAGACCGAGTGGCCACTTGTCACTTGTCAGGAATTTGAGCCCTGGATCTCTCAAAGAAGCAGTGTGTGTGTGTTGGGGGGGGGAGGGGGCAAGATAGCAGAAGCACTATCATTTATCCTGTGCTCACCAAACACTGGGCACTGTGGGTTAACTCACTAAGTTGAAGCCAGAGGATGGAGGCCTGGCTTTGCATCCCAGTTCTCGAGGTATTACCTTCATTGACTCTTTTTAAAAAAAATAAATTTTATTGATTTTTTACAGAAAGGAGGGAGAGGGATAAAGAGTTAGAAACATCGATCGGCTGCCTCCTGCACACCCCCTAATGGGGATGTGCCCGCAGCCAAGGTACATGCCCTTGACCGGAATCAAACCTGGGACCCTTCAGTCTGCAGGCTGATGCTCTATCCACTGAGCCAAACAGGTTAGGGCCTTCATTGACTCTTACAACAGTCCTATGAGGTAGATATTTTACAGATGAGGAAACAGAAGCACAGAGATGTTAAGTTGCTTGCCCACAGACACATAGCAAGTAAGTAGCAAAACCAGGATTTGAACTCTCTGCCTCCAAAGCCTGTGCTCTTAACGTCCGTATTATGCTATCATGTGGCTGTGGTAAATCCCTTCCACTTTCTGAGGGGCAGTTTCCTTATCCTAGTTTGAGTGTGTAAGATATTGCCTTGAGATTCCCTAAAGGTACCTGGACATGGGTCAACTTTAAACATCAGGAAACCTTTTTGGAAACATTTGTCAAGAACTATGTGTCTAATACCTTTTGATCCAGCATTCAACTTTGGAAATTTATCATAAAGGACATAATCAGATTTATGAATAAGGAAGTTCATTATAGTTTTCCTTTTAATCACAGAAAATTAGAAGCAAACAAATTTGAGGAAAAAATTATGTACATCCTATGATGAAATAATAAGCAGCAGCACATGTTCAAAAGGTACTGAATGTTCTTGGGAAATTCTCATTTGATACGTGGAAAAAGCACTTTATAAAACTATGCATGGGTATGATCTATTTATAAATATGTGTATACATAGGTTTATGAAACAAATATAAAAAACTAGAAAAAATATCCCTAGGGGTTGAGAGTTTATCTCTGAGAGATGGAAGTGTGAATATTTTTATATTTTTCTTTATTCATGTCCAGATTCCTCAAATTTTCTACAAAAATACACGTGTACTACTTTTTAAATTAGAAAAATTAAGGTTTTTATTTTGAAAACTATGGTTTTATTGATCTTTTTTATTTTTAGAAAGAAAGGAAGGGAGAGGAATAGAGAGATCGAAACATGAGAAAGAAACAGTGATTGGCTGCCTCCTGCACGCCCCTACTTGGGATGGAGCCCACCACCAGGGCATGTGCTGCTGACTGGCCTCCTGGCTCATGGGTTGATGCTCAACCACTGAGCCATACCAGCCGGGCTGCTTCTGTTTTTTTAAATCCGATTTTTGGCCTTGGGCAGCCCTTCTCTGTTATATTGCACTCGTTGGCTTGAAGAGGAAACTGAATCTCAGGCTGTCCGTATTGAGAGGGTCACTGAGATGATCTGGTCCAACATGTTATATGTGGGGAAAGTGAGGCCCAGGGGTGCAAGGGACTTGTCTAAAGTTCCTAGGCCAGACTGCTAGAAGGGCAAGGAGGCAGAAGGGAATCACTCCTAGAATTTACTGTTTGTGGCTAATGTGTGTTCATAACTAACATGCAAGCGAGGCCATGAATGTCGAGTGTAGCTGACCTCACAGACACACCCAGTGACAACTCAGGCTGGGAGTGACAAGGGAGGGTGAGCAAAGGGCAGCTGGGTGAGCATAGAGCAAGCCAGGTGTGCCCCAGACTTCTACCTCTCATCCGTCAGCCTCGCCCAGAGGCGCTTCCTCCCGGCAGAACTGAGGCCTCGCTCGCTCACTGCTGGCTGCTGGATTCAGACAGGAGAATGAAAGGACTTCGCTGGCGTTACACTCGTCTGGTAAGGGGTCCAGTTTGGGCGGGGTGTTAGGTCAGGAAAGGTGGGGAAAGGTAAGCTCTCGGGCAGGGTGGGGCCTGAGCTAGGGATGAATGCAGGCAGGCGATCTGTTCCTCTTCCAAGTCCCTCTCCAGCTGGCCTGGGGTTCAGAGCAGGAACTCAGGAACCCAGGGCCTTCGCTCCCAGACCCATGGTCCTGAGACCCCCCAAGGAGCAAAGACTGCTGTTTCTTCCTCCCTCGAGTGGGTGCCAGACGGAGCTCTGTCCAGAAGCCCCACACAGCTAGGACCCCCTCCTTAGGCCTTAACCTGGAGAATCAGAAAGCAATGTCTGAAACAGAGTGGAAACTCGAGTGAGTGAATGAATGAATGTAATAACATACATGCCCCCTGACTCACATATATATAGGGTATCCCCCCAAAATGTATGCACACTTTAACAGCTGATAATTCACTGAATTTTCACTCCTTCCCAAGTTTATCTGATTTGAAATAATGGGTGAAGCCAGACTAAGCTTTGAACAAAGAAAATTCATCCTAAAATGCCACTAGACTTGTTTTTAATGGGGATCCATAAAAGATAAAGTTTATGGTTCAAAACCAACAACAATTCACAAATTGAGGGTACACAAATACTAAACAAAATGACTCTTTTTAAAAATGTTTTCAAGCATATTAACCCTTTTCTTCTTTTTTAAAAATATGTTTTTATTGATTTCAGAGTGAGGAAGGGGGAGGTAGAGAGACAGAAACATCAATGATGAGAGAGAATCATTGATCAGCTGCCTTCCGTGCACCCCTCACTGGGGAGCGAGCCTGCAACCTTGGCATGTGCCCTGACTGGGAATCGAACCATGACCTCCTGGTTCATAGGTTGATGCTCAACCACTGAGCCACGCCTGCTGGGCCAAAATGATTCTTGATGTTTGCAATTCCATTACTTCGAGTTACCAGCAGTGCCTGGACCAGAACAGTCATCAGTTTGAAAACAGGCATTGACAAAAAAAATTATTCATTTCTGTAGATTCTTTTGAATTTTGAAAATGAACTGTATGTTAATAAACACCGACTTTATAATCATTCGAAGTGTGTATACATTTTGGGGGGACACCCTGTATTTATACAATCCCTACTCACACTCACAAATACATTGACAGGTAAACACAAAGTTACACTCAACACCTTCTCACACTGATTTGCCTGCACAACTCTATTTTAAGGGAACACACACATTCACATGGACAATTGCACATTTTACACGAAACTGCACACGCCTCACCTATGACATGATTGTTTCACTGGCTGACGGGGTTCTCATTGTCTTCCGTTGTAAAATGGAATAAGCAGCACATTCCTAGGATTCTTGGGGAAATTCGGAGAGATCGTGCACAGCTAGCACTTCACAAAGGCCTGGACAAGTGTGTGCTGATCAATGTCAGCCACTCTAGTTATTATTATGATCACTAGAAACCCGATGAACAAAATTTCATGCCAAGAGTAGGCCTTCCTTCCCCCGGCTGCTGGCACCTGCTTCCCTCTGGCACTGGGACCCGGGATTCCCTTGCAGCCCTGGCTTTGTCCAGAAGGTCATCCGGAAGGACATCTGGAAGGACGTCTGGTCTAATTAGCATATTATACTTTTATTATTCTAGATGATTTCATGTACAATTTCACACAGCACCCAGGCTGGGCTGTCACCTGCCCTTCTCTCCTGCCCCCGAGCTGAGAACTGGATCCCTGGCACCCACCCTGGGTCCAGAGCACACAGGCAGACAAACCACAGGGCCCAGGGCCACGTCTGATGGGCGTGTGTGATTCCAACCTTTAGCTAGCAGGTACCACGGAGGAAGCCGGCTGGCGGGACTGAGTCTTGTCTGTGATGGACACTTCCCAGCCTCCTCTGGCTGGGCTGGCAGGGGCCTGGGCAGGGGTGGCTGAGGCTCTCAGACCTGGGAGATGTGGGAGCTGGTGTTTTCTGTCCCTTGACTCACCAGGCCTCTTTGCGTCTTCACAGCCCAGCCAGGTGGAGGACACTCTGTCTGGAGAGGAGGGTGAGGAGGGGGAAGAAGAAGAGGAGAAGGAGGCAGCCCCAGCTCCAGCCCCAGCTCCTGAAGATCCCGTGGAGCCCCAGTTGGCAGAAGCCAGCCAGGTTCTGGGAGCCTCAGAGATTAGGCAGGTTCGGCCTGGTTTATGATGCAAGGATTTCAGCCCTGAGACTGAGAGTCTTACCCGCCTGTCCTACTCCCAGCCAGGTCCAAGGACACCTGGGATCACTCCTGCTCTGAACCCCGCTCGCTGTGTCACCCTGGCAAATCATTTCTCCTCTGGGCTTTCCTTTCCCACTTGTCAAACAATCCAGTAATAACAGTCACCATCTTCACTGGGCCAGGAAGTGAAGGATATATGAAATAAGCTAATGTTTAAGTAGAACCAGCCCTTGGGAACTGAAGCCAAACTAGGGGTAGGGATGAGAGGATGAGGGGAGGGGGGTTAGGAGGAGGGATTCAGCATCTCATCTATTCTTCAGCCACTAGAGGCCAGGGTGACCAAGAAGGGAGAGACCTGACCTGGGTTCAAATCCTGACTCTGCCACTTGCTGCCCATGTGGGCTTTAGACAAGCTGACCACCTCCCCTAGCTCATCTGTAAAATAGTCCCTCTCTGAGGGCTACTCCTAACAGGTGTGAAAGTCCTCTGGAAACAGGAAACCACTCTGTAAACTATGAAGTACCTTGTTTGTGTGAGTGCCCCCCCGCCCCGGGGGGGATAGTAAAAGGAGACTGGGAGGACGAGGATTCCCCCACTCACCTCTGGACCTGTCCCCAGCTCAGCCTCCACCTCCCCCCGAGAGTCACTGGATATTCTTGGAGTCTGGCCTTCTGTACAGCAAGGGATGGCTTCAGTCTGCAGAGCCTGTACAGGCAGATGGAGGGCCACAGTGGGCCCGTGCTGCTGGTGCTGAAGGACCAGGATGGGCAGGTGAGCTGGGCTGGGGAGTGTTAAGGAAAGGATGTGTGTAGATGGGCCCTTGGGGGTCTCTCCACCCTCCAGCACTGCCCCAGGCTCCCCAACTGCCCCTCTAGGATGAGCCTATATCACCAAGCTTGGAAATTGGGTTTCCAGAGGATCATCTATTTCCTTCCAGCTGCAAAATGCAAGTCCTTCTGCTTTCCAGATATTTGGGGCCTTCTCCTCCTCAGCTTTTCGACTCAGCAAAGGCTTCTACGGTACCGGCGAGACGTTCCTCTTCTCCTTCTCCCCACAGCTGAAGGTGATGCTCCCACCCTTGTGGGAGGGGATGGGAGGGGGTCTATGGAAGGACAAAGATCCCAGGGTCCCAGTGGCCCCCAGCTCCATCCCCTGTGCTGGGGTGCCTGGTGTCCTCCAATCTTCCCACAGAGGGAAGGCAGGAGGGCAGTGGCAGGCAGAACACCCACCTTGGCCTGCCCATCCTTGTGTGTGTTTGTTTAAATACTCAGTAGGTCCTTGGCAACCACTTACTGGCTCTGAGAGGAAGAGGTTTGTTGCTCACCAGATACAGGCTGGAGAGACAAGTTTAGTCGAAGTGCAGGTAGATCTGGGGGCGCTGCGAGCAAGGATGGAGGAGGTGGTGTGAAGGTTGAGGGGAGAGAAAGTATCAACTAGTGATCACGAGAGGGGAAAGGGAAGCCCATGAGAGAAAACTAGAGACACGGAAGGACAGCCGGGCAATGCTGACGGGAGGGTTGAGACTGAATTTTAAAGCAAGCCAGGTACTTTGGCACGTGCTTCCCTCCAGCAACATCCAGCTCTTCAGGTTCAGGCAAAGGAGAGCGTGCAGAGTGGAGGGAGGGTTCATCCATGAGGGGTTTGGCCAAGCTGTTTTAACCGAGGAGAGAGGGAAAAGGAAGTTGAAGGGAGTGGAAATACAAGATGGAGGGAGAAATAGTGCTGGATACTTTGGTTTGCGATTAGGTACCTCCTCTCCAGTGCACAGACCAAGACACCTACAGACACATCCAGCAGCACAAACATCTGGTCGCATGATGAGGAGGTCACGAGCAGCTAGGGACTGCCCTGCTATAGGCGAATGCACTTTATCGATCGCATTGCCTGGTAATCTCATCAGGAAAGAGGAAAGGGGCCAGTTGTCCATAGTGAAGCCACGCTGGAGACTAGTCATCACCGCCTGCCTTCCGGGGTTCACATACTAGAATTCTAGAATTTTCCTCTTACTGAACTGACAACTCCTTGGCAGAATTCTTTGCTCCTCCTCAGCTTCCCCAACCTTTTAATGTCACAGGTCCTAGGGCTCAGTTTTGGGTTCTCCGCTCTTCTCTGATTACCCTCTTTTTCTTCAAGGTCCTATCCATCCTTACAGTTTTCTGTGGCGTCCATGTGCTCATGGCCTCTTCCCCTGGACTCCAAACTCACATACATCCACACACTATCCAGTGGCTCCACAAACTCAAACATGGCATTTCAGATCTCACATGTCCAAAGCTGACTTTCCCCCATAAAACAGCGCCTCCTGCCATCTTCCCCAACAAAGTTAATTGGCACCTCCATCTTTCCCGCTGCTGAGACCAAAAATTTTGGAGTCCTTCTGAACATCTCTTCTACACCTCACATCGGAGCTGTCAACGAATTTTGACTGTCCTGCCTTCTCTTTCTATCTATATCCAGAATCCACCACTTTTTACCATGCTCTTTGCAGTCATCATGGTTCAAGCCACCATCATTATTTGCCTGTGTTCTTGCTCTAGCCTCCTACTGCTTCTACCTTCACTCATCACAGTAGATGAAATGATCCCTTTAAAAGCTAAGTCAGAGCATGTCACTGACTCCACGCTGCCAATGGCTTCCTTTCTCACTCCGAGAAAAGCCAAAGTCTTTAAAATAACTTACAAGTCCCTACATGTTCTGACCTCTCACTGTTCTTTCTTCTTAAATGTTTTTATTGATTTTTAGAGAGAGAGAAAGGAAGATAGAAACATCAATGAGAGAGAAACATCACCGATTGGCTGCCTCCTGCATACCCCCTACTGGGGATTGAGCCCGCACTTGGGTATGTGCCCTGACTGGGAATCAAACCAGTGACCTTTGGTTCATGGATTGACACTCAACCACTGAGCTACACCAGCTCGGTGGTTGTTGTTTCTTGCTACTTTTCCTTTACCTCATTATGTTCTAGCCACACTGACCTCTGAGCTGGTCGTTAAACACGCTAGCCTGCTATTACCTCAGGGCCTTTGCACATGATGTTCTGCCTATAGCGCCCTCCATTGGGTCTCCATAAGGCTTAGTTCTCACCTCCTTCAGTTCTCAAATGTCACCATCTCAGAGAGGCCTTCCCTGGCCACCCGATTTAAATTTATAATACTCCGCCCCGGGAAACCTGTTAGCCCTTTTCTACCTTTTTCTACTTAGCATTTGTCACCACCTACCACACTATTTATTTTACTTATGGATTTGCCTCCTCCAACTAGAATGGAAGTCCCATGAGGTAGGCATTTTTGTCTGTTATGGTCACCATTCTACCCATTGCCTGAAACAGTACCTGCTGCTAAATGCTAAAAAAACAAATGAGTAATTTTCTCAGGGGCTTGCTATCTGTCTTCCTAGTCTATCGTTATGAAGTCTTACTTTTCAAAAACTGGTTAATTTGTGCCTGTCTTTGATCTTTTGGGACTTACGTTCTTCATGAATTCCCAGCAGTTCCTTGATCACTACTCCAAGCAGCATCATGAAGATGGTCTTAATTTCTTCTGTAGTAATGTTTACCTTACTCCTTCAAGTTCAAAGGCCATGTTCCTTGATGAAAGTAGAAGAGGACTTGAATGGTTCTGTCTTCTCATGGTCACTTGTTAATATTATCTCATCTCTTCTGAGACCAGGCTTATCTTTTATTAGTCCATTTATTTTTAATTTTTTTTTCTTGCTAAAAACCCTTTGGTTGTTCATCGCATTTTTTTTATAACTAATTATAGGCAATAATATACTATGCTTTTGCAGCCCTTTTAAAAATCTTTGTATTAACTGAATTAACTCTTGAGTAATTTATTTGTTCAACAGACATCTATACGGCCCTGGCTGGGTAGCTCAGTTGGTAAGAGCATTGTCCTGATACGCCAAGGTTGCAGTTTCAATCTCCAGTCAGGGCACATACAAGACGCAACCAATGAATGCATAAATAAGTAGAACAACAAATCAATGTTTCTCTCTCTCAAAAAAAATCAATAAAAACAAACAAACAAACTAGAAAACACATCTATACCATGTCTTAGGAATACTGCCAGGAATCAAGACAGCTCTCACAGAGCTTATATGTTAGGGGGCAAGGAATGACACATGAACAGGGCACCTCAGTGAGAAAGGAAAAAGGGTCTGGGAGGAAGGGCTACTTTAGACAGGGTGGTCCAGGAAATGTTTCTGGGATGACATTTGAGATGAAGGATGAGAAGTGAGCCATTTGAGGATCTGCAGGAAGACCATCTGGGCATACGGACCAGAAGGCGTGAAGGTCCTGAAGCAGGAATAACTTTAGGTGTCCCAGGGACAGAAAGGCCAGTGTAGCTGAAATGCAGTCAGAAAGGAAGGGAAAAAGTCAGAGAGAAAATCAGGGGTCCGAGCCGGCTTGGCTTCCACCTACAGTGAGGAGTTGGATTTTGTTCCCATTGCACTGGGAAGCCATTGGAGGGCTTTAGGCAGAGGAATGATAATATCTGCTTCGATTCTGAGTCAGTCACTCAGAGTGCAGTGTAGAGATGGGCTGTGGGCAGGAGACAGTGGAAGCTGTGATCCAGCAAGGAGTGACTTGGCGTGGATGTGTGGGCAAGAATGAGTAGAGATGGATAGGACAGAAATGGTGGTAGTCAGGGAGTGTCTGAGGTGGGCCTGCAAGACTAGCTGAGGAGCTGGTGTGAGGCAGCACTGGGGGATGGGCGGGCTTGGTGCTACCTCCAGTGAGAGATGAGGGGACAGTTAGTTAATGGTAGAATTAGGGCCGGACTCCTGACCCTACCTCCTGTGGGCTTTCCCCCTCCTCTCTCCAGCTTTGGAAGCAGTAAGCCTCAGAGGTTCTGTTCTATTACCAGAACAGAGGGGCTGTGAGAATCAGACTGGAGAGCAAGAGGAGGTGAACTCCAGAGAGAATGGCAAAAAATTTCAAGAGTCAGGAGCCTAGAATACCTCCTGGGCTTAGTTGGGGCCTGGATGTCCCATTCCCTTTACAATACTGCCACCCAGTGGTGTGGAGTTGAACTGCAGGGCAGTAACGAACCTTTTCCTGTCATGCCAGGTCTTTAAGTGGACAGGAAGCAACTCTTTCTTTGTGAAAGGAGACTTGGATTCACTGATGATGGGCAGTGGCAGGTGGGTGTCTCAGTCCTCCCTGAGTCTCAGGATGGTCTGTGTTCTGGTCCCTTCTATCCAGGAAGACTGAGCTAGGTTGTCTCATAAAATGAGGAGGCTGGTGGTTCACTTTCAGGCCTCTCCCTTCAGCAGCCCCTCAACTTCCCTCTAAGACAGTGGTTCTCAACCTGTGGGTCGCGATCCCTTTGGGGGTCGAACGACCCTTTCACAGGGGTCGCTTAAGACCATTGGATAACACATATATAATTACATATGTTATTTTGTGATTAATCACTATGCTTTGATTATGTTCAATTTGTAACAATGAAATTGGGGGTCACAACATGAGGAACTGTGTTAAAGGGTCGTGGCATTAGGAAGGTTGAGAACCACTGCTCTAAGACAACATTGAAGAAAAAGGATGGCATAGACGCTCCCTCTGAGTGTTTGCAGTCGGTGACCGCTTAGTCCGAATTTATGTCACTTTGGGAAGAGCATTCCACGTGGTTGGATGAGGCTAGCCTCAAATTTACCTGTCGGCACCGTGATCCTAGGGAATGTAACTCACTGGGGTCTGCCCAGGAACCCTGCCTAAAGGTGTGTATATGTGTGTGTTGGGGGTGGGAAGTGGAGTGGGTTAGGAAGAAAAGGTTAGTCTTGCCCCTGGTGACCTGCAAATTGAGGCAGAATTAATCCTATCCTGAGGACAAAGATGACAACACTGATCAGGACCAGGCAGCTGCTCTTCCAGCTGCCTGAACAGCCTTCAGAGGCAGCTGGACACAGAACACACCAGCTTTTTCTGACTTGCAGTAACTCACTTCCCAGCTCCAGCCTAGGTTTGCTGTCAGGTGAAGGAGTTAATGTGGATGCTCTCTGAAGTGTTTTGGGCTCAGAGGCCACACCTCTGAGATTCACTCCTTTGGTTAAACCTTGCTATCTTGCCCTAGCTGGTTTGGCTCAGTGGTTGGAGCGTCGACCCACGGGGGTCCTGAGTGTGATTCAGGTCAAGGGCAGGCTCGACTCTCCACACTCCAGGGCATGTGCAGGAGGCAAAAGGCAAACAATGAATGTCTTTCTCACGTCAATGTTTATCTCTCTATATCTCTCCCTCTCCTTTCTACTCTCTCTAAAAATCAATGGAAAATGTATCCTTGGGTGAGGATTACCAACAGCAACAAAAAGCAAAAACAGAAAACAAACCTTGCCATCTTAAATACATTCCAAATGTTCTAAAACTGTGGTGAGCGTTGCACCACTGTATATATTTATTAAAACCACTGAACTGTAAAAAAAAAAATACTCTAAAACCTGTGGGGAATAATGTGTGGAGTCTCCCAACAATTCAGGATAAATCGGTTTAAGGGACTTTGAAATATAAGCCGTCATGGTGTGGGTCTGAAAGGTCTCAACACCCAGGAGAGAGCCATGCCACGACTTTCCTCTTCTCTTTAGTGGCCAGTTTGGGCTGTGGTTGGATGGAGACTTGTATCACGGAGGAAGCCACCCCTGTGCGACCTTCAACAATGAGGTGCTGGCCCGGCAGGAGCAGTTCTGCATCAAGGAGCTGGAGGCTTGGGTTCTGAGCTGATGGCCTCACAGTGGGCAGCTTCCTGAGGTAGCAGGTGCTCGGACTTGCTCATGGATGCCGTCCAGGCCCTTACACGGGGCAGGCCATTCTGTCCAAAACACAATGGTGAAGTGTCCTAGTGCCGACTGTGGCTGTGAGCCAGCCTCGCGGTGGCCTGGGGACCCAAGACAGGCACGGGGCCGGAACGGAAGGAGTGAAAGCCAGTTACACCTCACCTGAGCAGGGCAAAGTCCCTCTTGAAAATTATCTTCTAAAAAATTATGCAATGAATACATGTTTATTGTAGAAAAAACAGAAGACATTAAAAACTTAAATTGCCTAAAATTTAACCACCCCCCAAAACACTACCATTTTCATGTACAGTGGGGCCTTGACTTACAAGTGTCCCGACTAACGAGTTTTTCGAGATACGAGCCGTCTCTCGGCCAATTTTTTGCTTTGAGTTGCGAGCTAAAATTCAGGTTACGAGCAGGCTTCAGATATCCACCGCTAGTTGGCGCAGCGAACGTCACAGTGAACACCACAACATCAGCCCAGCATCACGTGTCTCACTTGTTCACTTTTTGATCTGACATACGAGTAATTTATGAGCTCTGTCACGGAACGAATTAAACTCGTAAGTCAAGGCCCCACTGTATATCCTTCCAGATAATATTTCATGGAGATATATATGTATATCTTACAAAAATGGGATTCTACTCTATATATTTTGGAAATTATTTTAACTTAAAGACTATTGTCAAACCACAGACACCTGGGCTTAGTGAAACTAATAAAGACTCTAGTAGTATCATTCTTTTTCTAAAACAATGAGGGTTGTGTGCCGGGTACTTGCAAATCTAATTTCATGAGGAAGATATGAAAGCGGCAAATGAACAGTATGCATATTTAATAAAGAAACTAAAACTCTGTAGATGGGAACCTTGGGGAGTTTAAAACAGAGGGAGGATATGTTTTCAGGCACAACAGGAGTTCAGAAAACTAAGAAAAATCCATATCCCTTCCCATACTTAACCCCACCTCCTACCAGAGGAAAATATTCTTTGTTTTTTTTTAAATATATTCCATTGATTTTTTACAGAGAGGAAGGGAGAGAGATAGAGAGTTAGAAACATCGATGAGAGTGAAACATCCATCAGCTGCCTCCTGCACATCTCCCACTGGGGATATGCCCGCAACCAAGGCACATGCCCTTGACCAGAATCGAACCCGGGACCCTTCAGTCCGCAGGCCAACGCCTCATCCACTGAGCCAAACCGGTTTCGGCGGAAAATATTCTTTATTATGCTATTGTTCACCATAATTGATTAAGAAAAGTTAAATAACACACATCTTGTTAAATATCATCCCCTCTCTCACAGACCCAACATAGCATTGAGGTACTAAAAACTACGTGGATAAATTCCTAGACCTGTTTCGTTGGCACAAAAAAGTCAAAAGTGGGCACAGTGTAAGAGTCATTAAGGAAGACATCTTTGGTTTTAAGATGGAGATACATTATGAAGCTTTATTGCAGGTATTAAATATTTACCCAAATTAAGTAACCAGTCATTTAAACTTGCAGTTCTGTTTACAGTCTCAAGGTGATAAGATTCAGTAACTCCAAAGACTAAGCTGTTAAAGTCTCCATTTTTATACAAACAGTGATGATGTTTCTTAAAATAAATCTAACCTTGTAAATGACACATGGTTCTCATCATTAAAATAATTGTAAAAAGCATAAAGTGCAGCTGCCTTATATGCAATAGATTTAAGTTATTTATCAGGACAATGATACAGTATTGGGACTACAAAATTCCAAAGTAAACCACAATGATTTAAAGGTAGGAGTTGCAAAAATAAAACAATCTTAGCAGAAAAACTACATTCTTAACTGTGGGTCTGGGTACACGAAGTCTGAAGCCCAGAGTTCTCCTCACTGGATGTTGTAGAGGCACCATAGCCAAAACAGGTATGGCCCCGTACCATGGCTGACTTCACCTGTGCTTCTCGAGCCCCCATGTGAACACATCCCCACCCACATGGCATCACAGTGGAAGTGAGAAAAGGGTTTTAATTATTCTCCTATTAATTAGGGTCCACTCTTGATTATCTATATCGGGGTGGAGGAGGGGGAGTGAGACTATATAGAACGGCAGACATTCCGAATATTTTTCACTCTAGAGTCAACAGAACCTGGTTATATAGTGGGAGGTGGCATCACTCCTAAGAGTTGGGATAATCTGCTGGCCTGTGTTCGAATTCCTCCCTTCCTCTACTCACTCCTGCCACAGCCAGGGCTGGCTCCCATAAGAGGTGAAGGGCTCACAAAAAATGACTCCCATTCCTCACTACCTTGCATCTCCAGGATCCTCTGGCCACCACTAGCTTTGGCTCTAACTCCAGACTTTGCTCTTGGTGAATTCCTGTAGAACTGGACATGGGCGTGGGGGTGGGATGGGGCACGTTGCTCAGCACAGGAGCATTGCTCGACCACAGTGGTGTCCACTCCACAGCTAAAGGTAACGGAATCAATTTACAAAGGGGAACCTGGAATTCCCTGGGTAATCACTCAGCTCAGCACAGGCAGTTCCGTCTTTGCTCTGAAACCATAAAATGCACTGAACCAGCACCAACCAAGTCCAGCTCTGAGGAGCCCTGAGGAGGGTTCCTGTGACGGCCTCTGCTCAGTTCCCGAGATGCAGGAGCACGTCGGAGGGGAGCTCCTTTTCCAGGCTGGGCAGTGGTATAGCCAAGACTTGGGCAGTGAGTATTTAGGAAAGAAAGAAACTACCTGGGTTTGGAGGCACAACTGACCCAGAGGACAGCCTGGTTTGGGGGATCCCTCTGCCACTGAGGGTAGGGTCTCCTAAAAGGTATTTTATGTCTCACTTCAGAGGCCAGAGTCCTCTGATTTTTTCAATAATTTAATCAGGCTTCTCACCGAAGAGTTGGAGCCCACTCCTGGTTCTCATCTCTTACTGCTTACCCCAACTTGGCTAAAAGAGGGGGGGAAGGTGTCTTTCTCTAATGTTTAGATCACTTAAGGGGAGATGTCCTCAAGGTGACATTTCCTCAGAGGCTAGGATTTCGGTTGGTTTTAACCTTTGCTGTTCCTGACAATCGCAACTTTAAATTCCAATGTGTACCCTTGTATCACTTCCAATTTTCTTTTTTTAAAAAACAATCATATGTCACAGAAGTTTTCTAAGAAAATAGACTACTAAAAGAGAAAGGCTTTAATTAATACTAAAAATAGGTAAGGTTTTTTTTTATAGCATACATAGCAAGATTTGCCTATTACCTTGTAGTTTCTTTGAATAAAAATTGTTTAGCTTCAGCATAGGTATACATTCAAAATATAAAATAAAGTTACTTGTTCAGCATAGGCGCACTCTGATCAAATTCCCTCAATTACTTAATTGTGTTGGGGCGAGGGACTTTTGTAAACAAATGATTGCAGACATTCATCCAGAGGCATCCGCAAAGTCCAGGGTTCTCCTTGCATGGGTAGAAGCTGAACTCTCAGCTGAATTTGAGCAATTCCATTCCTTTTTTAGAGGTGTTATAAGTGGGGCTATGACATCGCCATCCTGTCAAAGAGAAAAATACCAGGAACTGAGAAAAGCCAGTTTTCATAATTTCAGTGAAAGTCTCGGGTACATGCAGACTGATCATGTCCAGACCTACTTATTCTTGAGAAACCCCAAATTACAAATACGCCCTGCATTTGGGTCAAATTAGAAACACCAAAGTTCTAAGCAGATAAGAGCTTTGCTTAGCAAAAGCCACCAGACCTATTCTTTTCAAAGATGGTCAGAAGCAGCACACTGCCCAGTTCTTTAACCCCCTCCCTTCATACACCTTCACAGAATACATACTGTCCTGTTTTCCCAGGAGAAAAAGAGACTTCACTGGACCCCTGCTCCTCCCTTGACTAGTCCTCCTGCCCCCCTTTTTTAACTTTTTATGTATTGATTTTAGAGAGCAGAAAGAGAAAGAACGAGAGAGAGAAACATTGTTTTGTTCTTCCATTTATTTATGCATCCACTGGCTGCTTCTTGTATGTGCCTTGACCGGGGATAGAACCTGCAACCTTGCATATGAGCTACCCAGTCAGGACCTTTGTCCAGTTCCCTCTGCAATACATGGCCCTGGTCTACAAGATGGCAAAAACAACAAAAACAAACAAACTAATTAACAAAAACCCAGGAAGAACAGGTATATACCTACAGAACTTGAACTTTTCTCTGCAGAGCTATAACCTAGACTCATCAGCATAGACTCTGCCCAAAATGAGGAACAGTGTAAGAAGCAAGATGTTTTAATACCTGACTCTATCCTAAATAAACCATTCTTGAATTTATGAATAGATTCTTTTAGGTTATATAAGAGCGCAGGGCCTTTGACAGACTTTCGTGCAGCAGGAAAATGATGTCTGTGGTAGAATGTGCTCATTCGCCTGTTTGCTCTCAGATCCACTCATCACCTTCCCTCTGCTTCACTCTGTATTATGGGGCTGCTCTTGTAAACTCCCATTTCCCAGCTCCCAACCTATTGGCTTCCAGTTAGGTTTGGCCCATGGGAGGCACTGGTGGAAGATTGAAAAGAGGAGGGCAGAGCCCGGCTGGCATGGCTCAGTGGTTGAGCATCAACCCATGAACCAGGAGGTCACAGTTCTATTCCCAGTCCAGGCACAGGCCCAGGTTGTGGGCTCGAAACCCGATGAGGGCGTGCAGGAGGCAGCCAATCAATGATTTTCTCTCATCATTGGGGTTTCTCTTTCTCTCCCTTCCTCTCCTTCCTCTCTGAAATCAATGTTAATTAAAAACCTGCACACCATATTTGAAAAGAGGGCAAAGAAGCCTGGGTATTTCTCTCCCTAACCCTCTGGCACAGGCAGCAGTAACTGTGACGCTTCTGTGGTTCTAGCTTCTGCAGATTATCCCAGCACCTCAACTCCCACCTCCTACCCTAGAGCTTTCTACTGTTGTCTCAACCATCCCATTTGCTGGTTTAGCTCTGCCAAAAATTTGTATCAAAGGCCCCATTTTAAATTTCTTATTTTGAATTACACTGGATCTGACTTGATACAGCTATGAAAAGCAGCCATTTAATTGCCATGATACTCATATTTGGAAGATCTATCTCAAAGTCAACATCATTTGTCTTCAAATCCATCTCTCTTTCTACAGAATATTCACTCTGTTTGGTTTCGTTCTACGTTGTTTTATTTATTTATTTTTTTAATATATATTTTATTGATTTTTTTTACAGAGAGGAAGGGAGAGAGATAGAGAGTTAGAAACATCGATGACAGAGAAACATCGATCAGCTGCCTCCTGCAGCTGCCTCCTGGGGATATGCCCGCAACCCAGGTACATGCCCTTGACCGGAATCGAACCCGGGACCCTTCAGTCCGCAGGCCGACGCTCTATCCACTGAGCCAAACCGGTTTCGGCTCTACCCATTCTAATTTCAACTCCAGTGAATTTTATAAATGCAAACCTGAATATGAATATGTCATTCTCCTGCTTAAAACACTACACTGGCTCCCATCATTCATGGCTTAAAGGACTATGCACAATGTCCTAGACCCCTCCCCTAAACGCACCATATTCTTTTGCATCTTCTGATCTCCCCTCCCCCCTTTAATTCAGCTTACTCCTTCTCATCCATCCTTCAGGTCTCAGCTTCTAAATCCTTTTTTATTTTATTTATATGGAAAGAGGTGGGATTGGGAGGGAGACAGAGACATTGATATGAGAAACATTGATCAGTTGCCTCCCATATGCGCCCAGACTGGGGATTGAACCCAAAACCTGGGTATGTTCCCTTCTGGTGTATGGGGGTGATATTCCAACCAACTAAGCCATACCGGCCAGAGCCTAAATCCTTCTTTAAATAAGCCTTTCCCAACCAACCAAGTCTGGCTTAAATTATACGCCTATAATTGTGATTTGTGTGCCTGTCATCCCCAACTAGAGTGAGATCTGTGGGAACTATGTCTGCCTTAGGTATTGTTCCATCCCTAGTACCTATCACAGGATCTGGCAAAAGTACTCATTC